GTAAATTTGATTTAGGAATTAATTTAGGTTCTTAATTAATTTGATTAGGATTTTGATTTAAAAAGAAAAAAAGAAACAAAGAGAAAGAATTAAGGAGTATGATGGGTTTTGTTTAGATTTGGGCCAAAGACAATTTCAATGGCCCAAAATCACCCCAAATCTTGGGCGATGTGCACAGATAGCCACTAACATCTTATGTCTTTATTTTAAAGCCAGCGTTTTAAATATCTTTAGTCTTTAGCCACTGGTTTAATAAACTTTAACTGCTCGGTCAAAAATACCCTTCTGCTCATGTCCTTAACTTCAGGACTTCAGGACTACATGTCCTTAACTTTTGAACTTGAAACTCTAAGTTCAGGACTTCAAGACTACATGTCCTTAACTTTTGAACTTGGAACTCTAAGTTCAGGACTTCAAGGTTACATGTCCTTAAGTTTTGAACTTGGAACTCAAACTTCAAGACCAAGCGTCCTTAACTTTTGAACTTGTAAGTCAAAGTTAAGGACCTATTGTCCTTAACTTTTGAACTTGCTTGTCCTTAACATTTGAACGTGTAACTGTAAGTTAAGAACTGTCTGTCCTTAACTTTTGAACTTGTAACTGTAAGTTAAGGACCGCTTGTCCTTAACTTTTGAATGTGTAACTGTAAGTTAAGGACTGTCTGTCCTTAACTTTTGAACTTGGAAATCAAAGTTAAGGACCTATTGTCCTTAAGTTTTGAACTTGTAACTGCTGTCTGTCCTTAACTTTTGAACTTGGAAATCAAAGTTAAGGACTTATTGTCCTTAACTTTTGAACTTGTAACTGTAAGTTAAGGACTGCCTGTCCTTAACTTTTGAGTTTCTTAGCCTAAGTTCAGGACCTATTGTCCTTAACTTTTAATTTATTTTAACACAAAATAAATTAAATGTGAACACACAAAAATGACTCCTCAGAAAATATGGTAAAACTGAAGAAGAAAAAAAAAAGAATACGTGCAATTATAAGTTGGTAAAAAAGAAAAAATTGGTTTCGCTACTTGTAAGTAATAAATTCATGTAACCTATTTCTCCCTGTCCTTTTGCAATGATGTTATGTTATTGGAATCCATGATTATTATAATTGGTTATAACTCACTTGGACACATAAGCAAGCTTATCCTATGTCATCGCTCCTCTTTATAGAGGACGAGCAGATAATGAAACAAACATCAAGAATTTGATGAATAAAAAATAAAAAAATCTCAACTTTATGGCAATAAATGGAGTAGTCCACAATATTATAAACCATGTTTGAAAACTCTTACATTAATAATGAAGTACAAGTGTATCCATCCCGAAGGTCGACTTGCCAAAGGAACAACCTCAGCCAAAGGAGTGGACAAAGGAGTTGGCAATGGAGAATTTCTACAAACTGGACAACTCGATGGTGAGGAAGACAAACATTAATTTTGGATTATGGAGAAGGCACGCAGAGAGAGAAGCAAGGGTTTGGGAAGAAAAACAAGGGAAGAAAGGGTAAAAATGTCTTTTCATATTCATTTTAATAGGATAGTGGCTATTTTTGCTCAACATTAGAATTGCTGGATAAAAAATAAATACCACCTTAAATAGTGGCTACCCCATGCCATTTCTACCCAAATCTTGCCTTGCCCAAGCCTAGCTCCCTTTTAAAATCCGGTTCACACCCTTTCAAAACCAAACGACCCCGTTTTGTGGACATTAGATCTGAGCCATTCAAAATCTTTAATCCAACGGCTTCGAAGTCCCCACCCCTTCCCTTATAATTGTCGGAAGCTCCCCCCAAACCCTAGCGACTGACCCTCACTCCCCCCCCCCCCCCATCTCTCATCTCTCACTCCCTCAGAACCCTAGCCTCAGAAATCACCGCTGGCGGCCATCTCCAAACAACTCTAAATTAATACCCCATGATCCCCACACTTTCCTAATCCCTAATCCTTTACCAATTTTCCAAAAATCCTCACCGATTTTCTCCAATTTCGGATCTAAAAAGGGCCAGAAACCCTAGCTTCATCCCCTTCTTATTTTTTTCGAGTTTTAAAGACTCTTTTTAACTCGAAACTCATGCTAATCGATTGTTTTTGGCAAGAACAATCGATTGTTATTTTCGGATCATTTCGGAGATATTCGGACTCCATGGTTGGTCAAACATTTTGTCAGAAGATTTTCCTCGCTTTGTTTAGGTAACTTTCCGTTTTCTTTTCTATTGCTTCATGAGTTTTAATTTGTTCTTATTACTTTTTAGCATATTAGGATTTAATGTCATTTGATTTTGTATGTGCATGATTCAATTAATAGTTAATTGCATGATTTAGGATTAATATCTTTTTTTTATCATATTCGCTTGGTTTTCTGTTCTGACCGGAACGATACCTAGATCCGGTCAAATTAATTTGTGCTCGCATTAGGTGTATAATCATTTAATTACATGTTGAATTAGTTAATTACCTAAAATAGGTTAAAAGTTGAGTATTCCTTGTTGTGTTGTGATTTTTTAATTTATCTGAGTTTTTGTGATAGTTGTTTGTAATTATCGAAATTTAGAGGTCTAAAAGAAATGGGAAAATGAAGGAATCTGTTTTGCTTGGTTGGAAATACTTTAAAATGGGGAATAAGTTTAAAGGTTGGGGTAAGAATTGAAAGTTAAAGAGTTTAAAAGGTTTTGGGAATAAAATAAGCTTCTAGAAAGGGACAACTGTTCCAATATTGTTGAGATAAGATGCTGAATTTACAGACAGCTGTCCATTTTTCTAGTATAAAAGATGACATCCCCCTGAATTTAAGGAAGGCTGGCAGATTCTTTTGTACCTGATTTCATTCCCTCATAAGGCTCTCACATATTATATATAAGAGGGGCAATTCTGATAGACAGATTTTACACATGACATACACTCTGAAAATTCACACTCTTTTTCTTCATTTTGGAGACTGTTTTACACACGAATTGACTACATTTTTCAGAATTCCATTTTATTCATCTTCATTTCTGAGTAGAAAAACTTTCTGGGGTTCTTGAAGTTGGGTTTTCTTTAGCTCCATCTGTTGCTAGTTCTTTATTTTGATGGTTTTCAACTGCTGCTTTGTTTCTTGTTGTTACTCTTTCCCAAGTTCAGAGACTTATTTTTTGTTTCTTTGCTTCTTGCTGCTATTGAGGTATTACCCTTGATCAAATAATGTAAACTTCAGTTTTTGCTTGAATGATGAAAGTGTTTATTTGCTCTGTCAAGTTTTAGTGTTGTGACTATTGTTTGATGTTTGTCAAACTCTGTGTTGTTTATTTATTGTTGGAATATGGCTATGAGCTATGAGCTGAATTACTGCAATGTATCGTGTTAAACAATGACGTTCATTTATTTGAAGTTATTTACAGATCTGTATGAAATTACTCTTTAGCCATGAAGTTTCTAGTTAGATTACAGGCTGTGATAATTTACACTTGATAAGGTATTCGTTTAAGTTGTAAATTTTACTAGTGGTGATTTTTTGGATTTGCATGCTAGCTGGAAAGCCTCAAGGATGGATGCACACATAGCTCTAATTCAGGTTTCAATTGCTAATGCGTTTGGCTAAACCAGTAGATATTAAAGCATAAGAAAGAGACACCAAAAGTGTTTAGATACTTCAGTAATGTGTTGATGTCATCCTAAGCTTTCATCTAGTTCAATTGTCATGAATACTCTATTTTTCCGGGTCTATGCGGTCATTCATGAATTGTAATTAGAGTAAATAAAAATGTGATTCAAGACTTGTAATTCTTTAATGCTGCAAATGGGTATTGTTTCTTTTTAGGCTTGTATAATTGTGTATTGAATATGATTTAAGATTTGTTATCCTTTATTGGCCTGGTGGGTGCTAATTTTGTTAAGAAATGTTTGGCAAAGTGAAGAAATCCTGTTTCCAGTTGGTTATTGGGGTGTTCTTATTAACTTGGGCTCAATTTTGAGCCCAGTGTTATGTGCTGATGCTTTTCCTTTTACAAAGGGTTAGCACATCTGGGTCTCACTTAAAAATTCACATGCAATTTGCTTAGCCCATTAGAGGTATTTCGCCAATATCTAATGAAATTGAGCTCATACTTGTTTATATTCAGCTAATGCAGTAATAATATTTTATTAGAACTTCATAACATGATTGCCTTTAAACAACGGATGCTGACAGTCAAGTCGTTGCAATTTGATTCGCTCCATTTGAATGACTACCTCATCATGTTCTCTTATGCGCTACTCCCTTTGATTTCCTTTCACTTAGTCAAAAAAAATGGATTTGGTCAGAAAATTCAATAAATGGTCTTACAAAGAATTTTCCGTAAATTATGACTTTGCCAACAATCTCAAACTAGAGTAGGAATTAAATTACAAACGTCTATTGTAGAAATGCTTCCTTTAGGCGCGCTTGATTAATCGGGTTTATAGTGATTATGTACACTTTCGCGTGACATGGTTACGATTTCTAAAAAGGACGAATATTCGTAGTTGCTTTAGGCACGTTTTAATCTATCATCGTGATTGTGTACACGTTCCCGTGACATAATTATGATGTCCCAAATTAAATCGAGGTATGCGTTCGCGCAACTTCGGCCAAACAATCTTAAATTAATAAAGCATGATTAATTGTGTACACGTACGCGTGTCATGATTTTAGAGCTCCAAATAAAACGAATTCACACATATGTGATCCATTTCGAAAATAAATCCATAAAACGCCATAATTAAAAGCGGTAAATAGGTAAAATGTGCATGGGTTTTAGAATGAGTAATTAAATAATTTAATTAAGCCAAGTATAATTATTAAAGCGACCGTGCTAGAACCACGGAACTCAGGAGTGCCTAACACCTTCTCCCGGGTTAACAGAATTCCTTACCCGATCTTCTGGTTTTGCAGACTTTATTAACAAAGTCAAATTTCCTCGGTTTGGGATTTAAAATAAACCGGTGATTTGGGACACCATAAATTATTCCAAGTGGCGACTCTAAATTAATTAAATAATTTCATTTCGATTAATGTCACTTTAATTGAAAAAACTCCCTATCCCTCGGGAAAAAGGAGGTGTGACATGAGCAGCTTCAACACCGGCTCATTAGACGGCCATGACCGCCTCCGCATCAGCCTTTACTTTTTCTGCCTCAGATGTAGCCTTCGCAAGTTCGGCGGCCAATCGAGCCTCGAGCTCCTCAACTCTCTTGGTTCGGGCCAAGTTCTCCTCTTTCATGCTTTGGAGTTGACGTTCAGCCGATAACAGTTGTGCTCGAGCGGCCTCTTTTTCCGAGGCAAGGCGATCCATATTTTGTTTCCACCCCAAAGTCTCCGCCTCCTTCATCTTGGCCTCCTCGTGAAGTTGCTCAATCTTTTCGGCCTTCTGCTGAACCTGCAGGATCAAAGTGTTAGTCGTCGTTCCTGAATCAATATAAAAAAATGAGGAATTTTTTTTACATCACTTGCTAAATCAGGTCGGTTTGTCCTTTATGAGTTGTTGTCAATTCGGCTCGGAGGTCCTTGATCTCCTCTTCTTTTTGCCCAATGAGAAGTTTTAGAGCATCTCTTTCCTCCGTAAGCCTTTTGAGATCGGCCTCACACCGGCTCAGCTCTTCCCGGGATTTAGAAAACGTTTCCCAATGAAGCGTCACGGCCTATGGAGAAAGAAAGAAAATCAAATGAGAGGGAATAAAAGACAAAAGTGATATTGATAAAGGGAGCTAAGTCTTACCTGACTCAAGAGTCGATGGGCCTCATCGAAGATACTCGATGCATTGCCCAGATTGGAGGAATCTTCGACCCCCGTGAAGCAGCCACGGAAAAGGTCTTCCCCTTCGTGGGCCGTTACCACATCCGGGGTCCCCATGGCCTGGCTTGAATTAGCCCCTCGGGAAATGTGGGGAGAGGTGAGTCGCTAATGTCTATTTTCCCAAGCGAGTCACTTGGGGGCGTTCTCTTCGTTTCGAAGGGCCTCAGAACTGGCCCCTTCAGGTACGCCCACCAGTTGCCCATCACGACGGGTGTCACGCCTCCTTTTTTCCGAGGGGATAGGGAGTTTTCCCAATTAAAGTGACATTCATCGAAATGATTTATTTAATTCAAAGTCACCACTTGGGGATAATTATGGTGTCCCAAGTCACCGGTTTATTTTTAAATCCCAAATCGAGGAAATTTGACTCTGTTTTAAAGTCTGCGAAACCAGAACACCGGGTAAGGAATTCTGTTAACCTGGGAGAAGGGGTTAGGCATTCCCGGATTTCGTGGTTTTAGCACGGTCACTCAACTATTAATAATTGGCCTAATTATCTGATTTATTACATATTTGAAACCTATCGTGCATTTTATCCTTTAAACGCTTTTAATATTTATGGAATTTATTTAAACAAGTTGCGATGTCGCACACTCATTATTTTTGTACATATTGCGAATAGCGCCACGTGAAATGCACCCGCAACCTGCAACATATTGATTTTTATTATTAAGTTATAGTCAAGTTAAGTGAAACGCACACTCAAATTGGGAATTATATATCATGACTATGCCACGGAAACCGTACTCATAATCACGACAATCATTTCCTTAATCGTGCCTAAAACAACTAGCGGTTTGAAATTTCCTTCTATTTGAAATTATATTAGGCAAAAATCAATTAGTAAAGGACAAACGGGCCGATTAGCTTGTTCAGCCAAGTTACAAACTCGATTTCTCTTTTCAATTGTCAAACAAACCCCAAATTCCATTAATATATAGTATCTATCCATACTTTGTCGAGCATGACCAAACAGAAGAATAAATCAACAAAAGCCTAACTTAAACAAAGAAATACAACACTATTAGCTAATCCAATCCCTTTGGTTTTTGTGCTCACACCCCCGTGACCAACTTAGATCCAAAACAAATTGTTCAATTCTTATATAATGTAGATAGATAAGACAAAAGTTTACCCCAAAACCCATATGGCTTAATGTTCATCAATGTTGAGATAAGGAAACAAATCAAATCAAATGATCCAAAAATCAGTAAAATGAACTGGAATGCCATGATGTATATTCATTTGCGCACACAAGTAACAAGACATACGGGTAAATAACCAGTGAAGAAATGAAAGCACAGACCTTCTATTGCTGAAATTTTGGAGCAGATACAATGAAAATAGAAACTCTAGAACAGTAATCCTCAAACGAGCTACGGACTAGGACCCTGGACCGAAATCGACGTCGCCAAATGGACTCATCTCGACTGGGTTTGGATGGTTTCAAGCTGATTTTCGCACTGGGTTGGGGAATTTTTGTGATGGTATAAGGCTGGTTTTACGTGACTGAAACATGGGATTGTTAACCAGCAATTTTCGATCAAAGAAGGAGTGGTTTTGGGGTTGGTTTTGTGGTCGTTTTACTGTTGCATTTTGGGTGAATTTGAGATCCCTTTAGGGGGATCTTTAAATGGTACTTTGGAGCCAGAGAAGGTGCATTGGGGGCTGGTTTTGAAGGTATTTAAGGTGATTAAAATGGTGTTTGACGGGGGTGAAGCTAGCTAGTTTCAATGGGGAAATGCTACCTTTTATTTGTGAAGGTATTTAAGGGAAATGCTACCTTTCTCAAACAAGAAGATGAAGACGATTCCTTTTATTCTTAGCTCCCCCAGGTCTGTTTTTAGCCTCTTTTTAGTCTGTTTGTGTGTGTTTGTGAGTGTGTTAGAGTGGAAGATATATAAGTGTAGGTATAGGGATTAATTGGTGGCCAAGAGTGTGTATGAGAATGTGAGTTTTGAGGGAGAGCATGTGAGTTTGTTACAAAAGATAAAAGAAGAATCTTGCCACATGGAAACGACTCATATGCTCTTGCTTTAATTAATATTTTTTCTTTTATTTTAAGAGTGTAAAATAAAAATACTAGCTAAATATTTAAAAATCAAAGATATATAATTTTTTTGTGATTTTTAATTTTCTTAAACAAAACCTACTAAAAATGAAATAAAGGTTAAAATATGTAGATTAAACTTAAAATTATTTACATACTAAAAAGTGTTGAAAAATCCCAAGTATGATAAAAATTAGGAGCTCACAACGGGAGGCATCTTCGGCCTCCGATGACTCGAGGACTTTGCTCGGGCCATATTCCGAGATCCCCTCGGTCTGAGGCTGAACCTCTTCGGTCATCACTGGCTCAACGGCCTTTGGGACTTCGGCGTTCCTCTTTCGAGCCACCAGCTTGAAGGCGGCATCTTCATTCTCCTCTTCTTCATCTCGTAGCTACTGAACTACATTCTCAGGCAAGGCGGCGACATCTTTCTTCGACTTGCGAGCCTTGCTCTTCTCGGGTTTGGAGTATCGGAGTGCAAGACCCTTTTCCTCTTCTTATCCTTAGCCGGCTTCGGGGCCTCCTCTCCAAATGGGGCCTTATGATAGCGTTGTCTCCGAGACCTGTATGAGAGAAAATCAAGTAGAAATAAGAAAAGAGACATTTCAGAAAAAAGCGTCAAACACATGAAAAGAAACTTACCATGATTTTTGGCCTCCCATCGGCCCCTTGCCAAATTACGCCACGAGCGCTCAGCATATGAACAAGTCGATGCCAGTTTCCGAACCCAGCCCTCGAGGCTCAGAATTGCACCAGGCACTCAAGAGAATGTTGCATCATAGGAAGGAACATCGATGAGAAAAAGCAAAAGGAACGAAACAGTAAATGGGGGCCAAGGGCGGGGTCTGTACTTACGCTTAATGTTTCACTTTTCGGGGAATGGCATTTTCTCGGCCCGAATTATGTCGGAAGTTCTCACTCGGACAAACCGACCCATCCATCCTCGGTCCTTGTCCTCATATATGCTTTGGTGGCCCGACGCTGAAGCCTTATTAATACGCCTCGATAAAGATGGGGGCTGTACAGTCTAATGAGATGGTCAAGGGTAAAAGGCATCCTCTCGACTTTGCTTACGAAGAATCGAAGCAAAATGACAATGCGCCAGAAAGAACGATGGATTTGGCCTAGGATTATTTGGTATTGGCGGCAGAAATCAAGGATAACAGGGTCGACGGGACCCGACATAAAAGGGTAAGTGTAAACACTTAAGAACCCTTTCACGTAAGTGATGATGTCCTCTTCGGGGGTCGGGATCACCACCTCTTTGCCTTCCCAATGTCTGTGAGCACGTGATTTTTGCCTCGCTTGAATTATTCCTATAGACTTCTTAGAATTAGGATTTTTCTTTTATTATTTGATTTTTACGATTTAATTGCGTAATTTTGTGTATTTTTTCTTTGTGTGTGCATGATAATTCATAAAAAATATAAAAAATATTGCATGGGCATTTAGGATTCAATTTCACATATTTTTTGATTAATTAGTAATTAGACTTGTACAAAAATACAAAAAAATCACAAAGAAAACTTTGATTTATTTTGATTGGCATTAATTTTAGTTTTTAGGTTTATTAGTTTCCTTTAAATTGGTATTAGTTTAATTGTAGCTTAATTAGGTAGGATGAATTAATTTTTAGGTTTAATTTTAGTTTGGTTTTAAAGTTGAAAAAAAAAGAAAGAGAAAAACAAATAATTTTGGGCCAATGTTAAAACAAATCACCAGCCCAAGCCAAAACCTGTCCACAAGCCCAAACCAAGCCCAAAATTCACCCCAAATACCCGGTCCAAACCCCAGCCTCAGAGACTCCTGAAACGACGTAGTATGGGGAAAATACTACGTCATTTAAGTTAGTTTGTTAGCGATTTAATCTTGGCCCTCCGTTTTTCCTGATCCAAGGGCTCCAATCACTTCCCCCATTTAATTAAAAATTCTGAATGTCACAACATTAACCTAGTACTCCATCTTATGTCGTCTCTTCCACTCCTATCTCTCATCGCCGCCGCCGCCACCGGAAATCGCCATGCGGCGGCGACTGACCTCCAAATCGCCTGAAAACTTGACCAAATAACCACTCTCATGTCCCCATTCCAAATACACTGTTATTTCCTTTCCAAAACCACCCCTCCTCTTCAAATCAAAGATCGAAGGCAGCACTGAAGTATTCTCCTTCTTCTCTCTTCAAGCTCCGATTTGGTTCTTCTTGATGTTGTGTGCATAGACCAACTTCGATGGAAAGCCAGGGGGTTTAGAGGTTCGTTTGCGCGTAATGGCCAGGTATGGTCATAATTTTCCGATGGGCCTTCATCTCTGTTTCTCCTTCATTCTTGGCTCATAATAGGAACTGTGACAAAGAGCACAGGCCATTGGAGAAATCCAGGCTAGTGCTCAATGTTACAGTTCACATCATGAAGTCAAAGCCTTCCGCACCAGTTCTATGGTTTGTAAGCCATCGATCCAGTAAGTATCCATTTTCTTCTGTGTTATTTCTTTTCTTTTCAGTCTCGTTTGGATTAGTTCTTTGGATTAATTTGGGTCAGATGATGAAATAGGTCTTGTTCAGTCGTTTTTACTCAGCTTGCCTGGTTCATAGTTGTGGCTAGATTAATTAAAATCGATTTCTGTTTTGTTCCAATTATTTGAGTTCTTTGGATTCAATGTCCTTGGCCTTCCTTGCTTCTGTTTTCATTGGCCTGGACAGCCCTGTTCAGAGCTTTAGGGCTCGATGACTGATGGCCTGAAAGTTGTTGGAATTGGGCTACATTATTCAGGCCCATAAGTTAAACAGGGTTTGGTTCATAAGTTGACCCATTGGAGACCTTTCAAGGGCCATAACAGGGTCATGGGGGGGGGGGGGGGGGTAATTCTCATATTTGTGAAGGGTAGTTTAGGAAAGAAAATAGAGAATCCTGCAGTAGCTGAAAGTAGAACCCCCTAGAACCTTCTAGATGGGGTTCTAATTAGAATTTCAGAAACTTAGTGGTATAACTTGGGTAACAAGTCAGTCCCTTAAGGACTTTAAGCTAAAACTGAAACTTAAGAAGAGGCTAAGGTGTAAAGTAAAAATCTGAAGGGTGCCCTAATATTTGCCTATAAAAGGCAGTATACCCTGCCTTGCAAGTTAAGTTTGGGGGGAGTGGAAAAATCTGAAAGAGGTTTTGAGAGGGAGAAGTTTAAGTTTAGAAATCTGAAAAGTTTAGAAAGTTTTAAGATCTGAAAAAATTCACAAAAAGTTCTGGAAGGCTAGAGATTCAAAAATTTGAAATTCAAAAGTTCAAATCAGTTCTTAGAAGTGTAGAGAGCAACATCTCTGGAAAACTCAAAAATTCAAACTCAAAGCTCCTGAAAATTACTGAAAATTCAGAAAAGAAAAATACACTGTTTCGTCCAGTTTCAAACAGCTGAAATTCACCTTTTAAGTTCTGAAATTAGTAGGAGGTTATCTGCTGGAGGTCACTTTGGTTCATCAAAATCTAGTCCTAAGTCAGTTGAATTTTAGTTGATTGAAGCCTATTTGGGAAGTGTACTGCATCTTGCTTTAATTTCCGGGGTTTTCGACTTGAATTTGCTGGTTTGCTGCTGTAAATTGAACCAGTGCTGTGTTGCCGCTGGTTTTAACTGCTGATTATTGCTTGCTGCTGCTGATTTCTTCTTCTTCTTATTTTGTTTGAATTCCAGGTATTATTTCAGCCTCACATGACATGTAAGATTGAGTCAAAGTTGATCAATGTTGGAAGAGATGATGAAATACAATATGTTCTCATGAATACCAGTACTCTAGTTTAGTTTAAACTCATATTATAGGTGTGTTTATGTGAACATTACATGATTTGTGCTAATTGGACTGTATGAACTATTTTCAGACTTGTATGGGTATTATACTAGCTGTAGCCTAGTTAATTTTAGTTCGCCTGTTATATTAACTTGAGGTTTGAGCTTAGATTAAGGTGTTGTTTGGACTGTACGAACTGTGTTTCAGACTTATATGAGTATAATATTAGCTATAGTGTGGTCCATTTCAGTCTAGCTATTCTGTTGGTTTGAGGCTTCAGCTAGATTAAAGTGTTGGATAGGAATAGAGTTCAAAATGAGCATGTGAAACAGATAGATCCTGTAATTTTGAATGTTAACCTTAAGCTTGAATTTCAGGAGGAGTGTTAAGTCTAAGTCTAACGAATATGTAAGCGATTCTATACTTCAATTCTAATTCCAGCATTTTGATTTTGAAATCAAAAGAATAACACTTCAGTATAATCAATTTTCCGTATTTGAGGTTTCAATATAAGTATCAATCACTTTAGTTTAATCATCGAATTTTCTAGATGTTTGTAGTAATCCATTAGCTTAGAAATAATTGGAATGTAAAAGTTGGAATTACGTCAGAAGCTGCTGATTCAACTGGATCTAAAATTTTCCTTTGTTGCTGAATTGATGAGTTCCACTATGAAAGAAGTTGGTAGTTTTAAAAGCCCAATTTTCCCTTTGTTACCTAAATTAATAAGCTCAATTTTGAAATACAATGTTGAAAGCCTATGGTTTTGCTGGTGGTCCAATTTCGAATTCTAAGATGCATGGGTTTATTTTAGGGTCAATTTCAAGGCCCAAGATGTTGAAAGCCTTGATTGAGGCTATAGATTTAAATTTAAATATAAGCTTTGGGCCTTTCAATTTAGGTGGCAGATTTGAACTAAGGGATTTTCAGCAATGGAAATTTCCCTTGTTTAAATTTGGACCTGATCTTGAGGCCCGAACCTTTTTCGAACATTTTAAATAATGATTAATTCATAATGTTAATTAATTAGGCCTTTAGAGACAATCACTAATAGAGAATAATAGTCCATTTTAGGATGACCCTTAAAATAAATTGAGGTGTGCCGTGCCAAATAAAAATTCATAAATTGCGTGGCCCTCTTGATTACGTCTTTAAAATCCTTAGAAATC